GAGTACCTAATTCAATTATACCTTTCACAGTGCTCGGAGGAGGTGATGTCTATTGTGGCGATGTTATCGGCTGGCAACACCATCTTCTACCGTCCCAAGGACAAGGCTATGCTTGCAGACACGGCTCGCGTTAACTTCAACAGTCCTGGGGGTGACCATATGACACTTCTCAATGTGTGGAAACAATGGGAAGAGAGTGGGTTCTCGATACCTTGGTGCTTTGAGAATTTCATCCAGCATAGGTATGGGTTATGTATTATTGGGTTTGCATAGACATGTATGCATATGTGTAGTTTTATACCACTTCAACAATCCAGGGGGCGACTATATAACACTTCTCAATGTGTGGAAGCAATGGGAAGGAATTTGTTTCTCGATACCTTGGTCTTTGGAAAACATCATGTAGCATAGGTATTTGTTATATACAACAGGCCTCAAAGTCATATGGATTCACGCCTACGACTCTATGTATACTGACATTGGTATTTATTTTCAGTATTATTCACAAGGTTTATGGAGCGCGTCAGGGACGTGCATGAGCAATTGGTTGGTATTAAGGAGAGGGTGGAGATAGAGAGCGCCCCAACGCATGATACTATTCTCATCCACAAAGCTACCACCTCGAAGCATCCAGACATGTATTAAGATGCGTACTCGCAAATTTATATGGATTCAACTGTACCAATTTATCCGTAGATGCTCATGTTGATTACTTCTTCAATACATTGAAGGTCTATGAAGCGAGCCAGAGATGTACGCGAACAATTGGTTGGACTTATGGAGAGGGTCGAGATAGAAAGCACCACAACGGAAGACAACACACTCATCCGTAAAGCCATCACCTCAGGGTTCTTTTATAACACGGCCAAACTAACGCGCTCGGGCAACTACAAAACTATCAAGCATCAACAGGTACGTTCAACATAAACGTTGCGTCTAAATATACCTGGAGTGTGGTATGATGTTGAGTGCGTGTATATATATCCAGCGACAGCATGGTCATTCACGAACGTATCACCTTCGAGACAATACGATACGGCGCAACTAACACACTCAGAGACAGGTATAAAACTATCAAACATGTCTTATCGCCCCCTCCCTGACTGTGTTCATCTGTTACGTCCATGTCTTGTAGGGGGGCTTTTATAGCCACTGCTATTGGTCGTTTGCACATGCCATTCTCATGGATGTCTTATCTCCCCCTCTCAGGCTGTGTTCATCCACCCCTCCAGTGACATGGTCGAACAGTTACCGCGGTGGGTGATCTACCATGAGCTGGTGTTCACGTCGAAGGAGTATATGCGAAGTGTAAGTGTATAAGTATAGACACCTTTATGTTTCTGAGTACATACTTTTGAGTTCTAAAATTGCACGAAGTGCAAATGTGTAAGTATATACATATATATTTCTGAAT